CTAACAAAGCTACTAATATACTAGTAGTTAGGTAAATAGTGTGGCTATCCCTATAAATTCGTTTTGCGTTATTTCCGCCATTACTTGTGGTATGGTGTGACTCTAACTTCGGGCCCAAGTGGCCATAGAAGATCGAGTCCGAGTAAAGTAGAATTGTATAAGTGAGATGGTTCTGAGAAGCAGGATGTAGTACCGACTTTAGTCATGAGAATGAAGAAGGAAAATTGGAACACAACAAGGTGATCGTCCTAGAAAAGTGAGAAGAATGGAGTGAATTTAACAACCGTCGTTGTTGTTAGTAGTTCGACTACGTTAGCAATGCCCCCTTATACGATTTATGTGTGTGTTAGTGTGTTTCTAGACAACGTTGTTCTTGTTAGCACCTTATCCTATTTTGGTCATGTTATGTAAGAAGACACCTTACGGTAGGTACAATTAGTAGTACTACGATGATAATGTTGAAGGTCATCAAATATGACAAACATGAGTTTCTTCAAAGTCAAAAGGAGCTACAAATCACGTAGGAAAGGCCAACTTAGACTTCAGCTGGTTATGAGCAGCAACAGATGATGGGTCGAAACCAAGTGGGGGAGAACCGACCCTTAAGGAGAAAATGCAAAAAGTAGTTCGACTTTCAATTTTGACGTTAAGGTCCAGGAGAGTAGCAACATGAGTAAGCAGATGTTGTTAGGTTTGATTTAGTCGTGTGAGTAACAGAAGAAAGAAGTCTTCTCTTAGAATAATCATAGGCTATGAGTTTCTTGGAATACTTCTCAAGGAAAGGTTGGTTTTTCCTCCCAAGCTACTGATAGGATTTAGGAAGTAGCCAAATTCCCAGGTGCGACTCAGATAGTCAAGAGGACCATTTAAGTTCGCACCTTCACGGATGAAGGATATATCATCGCACCAAAGGATCAAGAATTTAATAGGTGATGTAGTTTTCCATAGAGAGCATTGAGTACTCCAGAGATATATCAGACTTAGAAAGCTTAGTTAAACTCGTAGTAAGAACTTAGTTGCCCTATGCTAAAAAGACGACAACCGTAGGATCAATGTCAAAGGAGAAGGCGTTTCTGTAGTACGAACATTTCAAGTCATCATCTAAATATGCGTATAGAGGCACCTAGAAGAGAATCGCTCGAGATGTGATTTCTAAGGGTTGCAGATGTATCTGCAGTATACATAATAGGAACGATAGATCAAGTTGTTGATCCAGGTTCAAACAAATGATCTTGATGTTGTCATTAGCAGTTAAGATTAACTAAGAGTCCCCATCATAAATTGGCAATAGTTCAATTCTAGGAGTGACTCAGTGTTAAAACTGTGTAAGCAGTAGTAGTTGTTGGAGAATCAGTTGTAAAGATGCCTCGTTAGATGTCAATGAAAGATAGACATGCAAGGAAAAGATCTAAGGATTTCCTCTGAGGTTAACTGCAACAAAACAATCGGATATTGTTGAGGATCTGTTCAAATTTTTAGGATGCAAGGTTTCAGTTGGCGAATGGGAAAACAAAAGGATCGTAAGCGATTAGTATAAATTCCTAGACACGTTCATTCAATTAAGAGCCACGCTATATAGATCATCGAGTGCAACTGCATATGTGTCATTGGTCTTCATGGCGAGCTACATATTTGGTTTAGTTATTCCTTTAGGCAATAAGCGTAACAATTAATATAAAACTAGGATCAAGGTTCAAAATTCGTAGGATACTTTAGGACGACAAATAGACTTTAGTGTTTCGACGACATAGATTAAGGACCTCTAATTGGTTGTAGTCTCAAAAGTTTAAATAGAAAAGATCTTATGATAAGTAGATATCGAGGAAGAATGAAGATTGAGTTCCTTTAAGTACAGTCGGATAATGGTTGTGCGTCTTCAAGACCACTGAAGGGTCGATCGTGAGTCTTCAGGCCCGATGAGGATGATGACAAGAGCAAATAACATCGAAATTTCAGTAGTTGGATAGTGTCACGACATATCGAGAGCGGGATTAGTAAAAGATCTAGCTTTCATTACCAAATTGTCATAGAAATTAATAAGTTATAGTATTATAGGTTAATACTTGTTAGGTGTGTTACTTGCCAGTTGGATCACCAGTAGGATCACCCAGATAGCTGTCAATTGTCTGAGTAATTTTCCATTTGAGTTTTTTTCACTATACTATGTATTCTAGTATATATCTTCTGTATGTTAGGATATAGTCAAGGTTGTGAAAATCGTTCGGCGGTAGCTCGACGGTCGACTGACGTTAAACGATTAATCGAACTCGGCAGAGATTAATCGAGGACCCTAAATTATTTATAAAATTATTTAAAAAAAATTAATATATCCTAAAAAAATAAGTATTTGAAAATTTAAAATTTTAAAAATTTTAGTATAATGTTTTAAAACTTGGAAGCTTAAAAGTATGAAAATTTAAAATTTTGGTGTAATATTTGAAAATTAAAAAATTTGAATTTTTTAAATATTTCCCGCCTATGACCGCCGAGGACCGTCAAGCCTGAGTTTGACCGATTTTGTTCAATTTCCGTCAAGCACCCTAATCGCAATCGGTTCAAGGCCTCCAAACGATTAATCGCCGATTAATTGGTCGTTAAGACCGATTTCTGCAACACTGAATATAGTTGTCATGTAGTATGCCATTAGGCAGTTCTGTTCGTTGCCTGTAGTTTTGAATTATTGCTTGTTGTATTGTTTATATGTGTTGACATATTATGTGGGGAGTTGAGGGCAACCCAACCTCAGGCTGAAGGCCAATAGACTTGGTCGGACCAACTTTATGCTGAAGGCCAAGGTGCGGACCAACTTTATGCTAAAGGCAAAAAGGGCGGACCAGCTTCATGCTTACCCAATTGAATATAAATGTTTTTCATGTACTCATGTGAAGGGCAAAGTTCGACTGTACACATGCGCATTCGTAACATGTTTCCGCATAATGTAATTATACTTTGATATATTTGAATAAATAAAAACGAAAAATTTAGGTTAAAAACCGGGACATTACAACTACGATTGGTGATACCCCGTCTCCGTAATTCCTCTACCAAGTGACTAAATGTGACTTTAACTCTAAAAAGAGTATTGATAATGGGAAATAAAAAGAGTATTAATAATCAAGCCCGACCCAAGTCTTATAGCTGGAAAACTGGCCTGATAGGTTCCAAGTCGGGCAGTACTGTGGCCAAAGCCCGTGCTTTTTCGGGCATTTTTCCCCTGTTTTTTATGTGACAACATATTTTTATTGGTTTGTTCATTATAGCATTCTACTTTCATTTCTTCCAATTATAGCATGATACTTATAATTTTTTGTTTATTTTTATTTCATTACACTTTCATTTCAAGTGGAAAAATTCCAGGTTTCGTGTTTTTTCAAGTAATAACAACATATGTATAATGCATCATATTTTTAAAGCAATCTACTTTGCTTCATGTCCAATCCTGTTATAGCATCCTATGTGCACCTATAACCAGAAGTGAATCAGTGAGCTTGATAGTAGGATGCTATAATAAGGATGTGGTTTCTCATGAAAAAACCTAGAAAAACTTGATAGTAGGTTATGTTACGGTATAAACCAGGTGCACTCTAACTCTAACCGTTGATGATTTTAGTGTCACCAGGTATTTTATGTAATTGGATCTAACATGTGAGCTAAAAAGCTTATTTTTTGTACTCTATATTATATGTTTGGTGAATGCGAAGTGCATGCATTTATAAATATCGAATTATAAGCCAACACGAGAGAATGACGGGGGTCAATGGGGTTATGCTCCTTTTCAGCGGATAGGGTCGAGGGGCAGCGCCCCAAAAGGTCTTCGAAAAGTTGAATTACTTTCATTATGGAAAAACTGAATCCTAGTGGGTGATTATGGTAAGATTGACAAATCTTGTTAGTTTTGGAAACATTTAATTATGTCATTAAATTCGAGATTCTCATATCTAATTTAAAAGATAAAACCCCTAATTTGTCATGTATATATACGACTTTTATTTTGAGCCGCATAGAACCCTTCTTATTTCTTCTTCTTCTCAAACGAACTCAAAACTCTCTAACGATTTGGCTTGTGTTTCTGTGTCTAGATACAAAAAATGTCTTTTTAGTTTATCTTAGACTGGATTTCATGCAACTAATACATACGACGAAAACATCAATTCGGAAAGTAAACTTACACAATCCACAAAGAATCCGGTTCTCTATCATTATCCTACATAGTTTATTACTCCCCAACAGTAACCACGTGTTCGTGTGAAACCAAGTGACAAAAAAAATACAATGCTCTAATATGAAAATATAATAATCTAGAAATATAATTTTATAATAACGGAAAAAACTAGAACCATAGTGCATTAATAAAAATAACTTGATGCTAAATGCCGTAATTTAACTATTTTTTAACCATTTTCACGCTACCCGCTCCACCCCGCAAGCTTGGTCGGGATTAAGGCAAGCAAAAGCTCGTGCATGCCTTCGGATTATTTGCTTGCACAGACCCGAAAGCCTTTCTTGACTTGCCTGTTTGTTTACTGTACAAATCTCGTGAAGCTTGATCCATGGGATGGGTCGGGTCCGAAAGCCCGGGCCCAGTGCTCAACTCTAGTTGCTAATCATTTATTTAGACTTTTGTCTTGAGTTTAGTATAATAGTTGTTTTATTTTATTTCTCACTTTTTAATGTAAAATAAAAAGGAAATAAAACAAAGTTGACAGTGGAAAAAAGTTGTTTTGACTATTTTGGTATTTCCAATCTTGTTTGCCTACTTACATTATTGCTATTTTATCTATAATATCTTATATTTTTAGCAAAATTATAAATTTTATTTGATAACCAATAAAGATGATCTAATACTAATCAAACTCGACTCGTTTAGCGTATGCTTGTCATGAACACATGATATGGACTTGAATTATTATCATACATCAAACAAAATTCACAAAATAGATTATTACACAAAAGGAAATAAAAAATAGAAATAGTGTTTACATACTTGACAATCTAAAGACTTAACTTTTGTTTTTCAATTTGGAAGCCAACTGAGCTAAGGTTTTTGTAGAACACCCATCCTTACTAAGAACATTAGCAGCTGCATCTTTAAGATCCCGAATACGGCTCCTAATCCCTTTCCCTTCCTCTCCCTCCAACAAACCCTTTACAACCCTCGCGATCTCAACACGTCCCAGAATGCCATTTTCTCCAACTTTGGGCCTTAATGCCACTTTCATACCCTCGTTTAAAGATACCGCATTCATCTTTTGTTCTGCATAAAGCGGCCAAGCGATTACTGGCACACCATGGACTACGGTCTCAAGAATCGAGTTCCAGCCACAGTGGGTTAAGAACCCACCTGTGGAACTGTGGCTTAGGATCTGGGCCTGTGGGGCCCACGAAGGGACCACAAACCCAATATTTCTGGTTCTTTCCAAGAACCCTTCAGGTAAGAAGCCTAAAGGGTCGTTATGGCCGTAAGAATTAAAGTATGTGGCGTTGGGTTGGTCGTTTGGACTTCTAACCACCCATAGGAACCTTTGTTCACTTAACTCCAAACCCATGGCTAACTCGTTGAGTTGACTAGAGGAGAGGGTTCCACCGCTACCAAAAGATATATACAAAACGGAACCACATGGCTGACCATCTAACCACCTCAAACACTCTGAACCATCCGGATCACTACTTGAACCGGTCTGTATTAATGGCCCAACCGGATAAACCTTTGGCTTACCTGGCTCCTCCTGTAGCAAAACTTTCAGGGCTCCACCCTCCAACTCCTTGAAGCTATTTACCGCTATACCCTCAGCCATCATATACCTCTTCGCATTATGAAGCACCCATTTGTATGCATCATTCTTTCTGTCCTGAACCGGATCAAGGAGGTCCTGTCCACGAACCGGTATGCACCCAGGGATCTGAACCGGTTCAGGCAAGTCCTTATACTCACATGAAACCTCTTGATCAAGCTTCGGCAAATGAAGAAACAAAGACAAAGCCATAGCAGTTGAAGGGAAGAACACATAAGGAGAAACTCCAAATTCAATAGCCACATCAAAAGCATCTGTACCAAAAAGATCAATAAACAGAGCCACCATGTGTTTTTCTGCAACTAACGACTTGAAGACTTGGCGAAGGGAAGGTAGAGACCGGGTAACCATAAGACTGATTCGGGTTTCCATTTGGGTATCTTGGGGTAAGTCATCGAAATTGACAGGAGGAAGAAGAAGGTAGTTTAATCCATTTGGGAGTGAATCAAGAAAAGCGGTTTGTGATTTGGATAAAGGTCCATCGTTTGGGATGATGAAAGTTGCAGAGATGTTATGGTTATTCATCAGTCTCTTTGCAAACTCAACCAAAGGGATCAAATGACCCATGCCTGGACTTGGTACAATGGCTATATGAGGCGTTCTTTCCATTGCAAACAGATTAGGGGGTGTAGATAGAGAAGTGAGTGATAAAAGTTGGAAGATGAATGAAGTTAGATGGTGATATATATAGCAAATATGGGTAGAGGGTGTTTTAATTTGTGTTCTCTTTGTAAGAGAAAGAAAGTGATGCATATGAGACCAACATAAACACAATAAATAATATATTTGTCAATTTATTCATTATATTGTTATTTTATTTCTTTATGATAATTTAATCGGTTATTCATTGTTATAACTTTATACTGTATATAAATATGAAATTGAGAAAGAATCAAAGTAATATTTTATAATAAATAGATAAGTTAAAGTATATTGTGGTTATTTTTTGGAATATGCCCAAATCTTGTTATGGATAAAAACAGGTTCTGAATATCCTAAATCATAAAATATATTTAATTAATTAGTCGTTTTATATTTTATTTCTATTATTTTAGTCCATTAATTTTATTTCATACAAGAAATTGATGATATCTAAACAACAAACACCAACATATTGTCGGTTTCAATAAAACCATAAGAACAAAATACTTTCGATAAGAGACCTCATGCATAAATGGAAATTCTACATATGAAACAAATTGGTGATGAAAAGTATAACGCGTGTTATTCAAAGGATTCTACATAATTAAATAATACGTGGTAACACGTAGGGCCCATGAAATATGCACAAGTAATATTTTATTATTTTATAAGAAATATGAAAAACTATGCACACCATATTGAATAGACAAACATATAGAGACAGCGAAAGCTATAAAGATGCAAATTGGGCATTTGATTTTCCAATGTGAAATTTTGGCCAATGTGTTGGTGATGTCAATTCAAATGTAAGGCTTATGTCATGTGTTTAATAATTCGCCATGTGAACAGTAGTTGGCAACCTTTTAGAAGTAGGTGTACTCTATGCACAAAGATTTGTACATGATAATTTATAACTCATTTAATAGAAAGGGGTTCACAAGTTTGACTATTGGAACCGATATAAAAAAACACAAATCATTATATTTAAAGCTACAAAAGGCTTATAACTATTATATGATATTGATATAGTGCTTTTTAAATTTAAGTTTTTGAAAGTTCTAAGTTTTACTTGGTGATGATGTTTTTGTTAATGGTAAAAGGTGTCACATATAAGCCACATAAGTTTTTACAGTTTTTGCCACACTTTGCCTATGAATAAAGTATGGTGGTTTTTTTTATACCAATGGTATATATAGTGATATTTATATTAAAAAAAATCAAAAATGAAAAGAAAATTGCAATGACCTTTACCATTAAGATTTGCCATCGGAGGAAGTTTGCCTATGAAATTTACCATTAGCACAGAAAAAAGGTTGGGGTGTGGTGTTCATCCACCGGTAAGAATGTCACATGGGCTTTTACCAATGACAAAACTCTCTCACACCGTTTAGTCTAAATTGTTAAGAGTTCAAGTTTTTTTGAGTCCAAATGGTTGAGGTTGAAGTCTCAACGTTTAATCGTAAATTATGAATAAAGTATATTCAGTGGCGGACCTTAATGGAGCCCGAGGGGTCCCGGGCCACTGCTCCGATTCCGGTACGTAGTATAATTTTTTTTTTATGGTTTTTCTATTAGGTGTACCAGCTTAAAATACGAGTGTCACTACTAATTTAGATTTTTTCGGAAATTGTTTTTTAGTGTCACCCCTACCAAAACATTCTGCGTCCGCCACTGAGTATATTGTATGTTAAAAACATATATATATGTTAA